TTTTATAACTTCTTAAGCAATGCTGTAATACTCTGGACAACACAATAAGCAAATTGAAGGATGATGTCATTGTGATATTATTTCACTCTTGCATCATTTTTCTAACCAATTCCATCATTCTTCCATTTTCTTATTTTAACCTTTTTTTTAAGCATCATTGGGAATAATTGATGAATAACAAGGATATAATTTCTAGAATGTTGAAATAGCACAATATCTCTTGGATTTATAAAAAGATCCAGTGGACCCATATGGTAATTATAATATAGAATGAATTTTATTCTATTTTTAAAAATATTTTTTCCTTTTTATTCTGTGGAAGACTTCTAAGAAAAAAAAAATGTGATTTACCATATAAAGTTTCTTTAGAAAAAGAAACCTAAAAACTGGCATTGAGGCTAATGGACCCTGATGGTCTTTTGAGGATTGGACACTAGGTGCAGGTGAATTCAATGCCCTTACATAAATCTGTTATGATAGCTTCCACATGATTATATAGGTACCTTTGGTGCTGTTTTTAAACAGACATTTTAATGCAGCAGTTTAAATGACACTATTAATGATTAAACTGAGTTGGCAAAGAAATCTAGGGAAACATTAAGCATAGCCAGTCCTTTTAGTTATACCTTTCTTAATCTTTACATCCAGAAATGGCTTGGTAAAGTCGGCTAGTGACCCCATGGAGGGTATATATGTGTGTTACATAATGAAGAAGTGCCTCACCTCTGTGATTCTGGACAGTCCAGGCTGATGGAGATGAACACTTACATATAGGTCAACTAGTTAAATATAGAACAGCCGCTTTAGAAGTCTGTTGCCAGGAGCTCAACAGCGTCAGCTCTGTTTCTATGGGGGGAGACTTTGCAGACAGTTAAACAGCTAGAAGCCAGTGAGTTGAAGAGGCTCGCATTGTGGAAATTTAAATTATTTGGGAGAGGGTTTATTGATGATTCAGCTGTACTGAATTTGGCATCTTCCTCACCTGATTCCTAATTTATTACAATAAGAACCTGCCTTTATTTAAGTCACACACCTGTAAAAATTGATGTTATTGTACTGACAAGGTTGGGGGAAGGGACTGATGACAGGTCACAAGATTAGCAAGGTTCTGAAAAGGTCAGAATTGTACCGAATTATGTTTAGGACAGATTACTCCTGTGATCATGTAATCAGACACAGTGTTCTTATTGTCTTTGTCCTCGCTGTCCACATGGATGAGTCTTGTGGTTGGGCTGAGAAGGAAGTCATGATTCCAGGCAGTATTAGGCACACTGACAGCAGAATTCCCACATAGCAGCTTTTGTTTCATGCTATATTGGCAGAATTTATCTGTTTATGATTTTAAAAAACCTTTATGTATTCAAAAATTTTTTAAAAGATTTATTTTTATTTATGCATACAAGAACTGAGGTGTAGGCCAGTGGTGCGGGGGTAAGGAGATTCACCAGAGACAGAGTGGGGAGCAGAACAGGCAGATCTACTGAAATACACTGTTGAAGGGAGCAGTGGGAAAGACAGGAGAGGTCTGCTGTGCCATGTGGGTCAGCTCCCATGTGGGGATCAAACTGATACTGCAGTGGCTGGCAATAGCTTGATAGTGCTTAGACTTTAACCCCTACGCCACCAGGGAGCCCCTATTAAGGTTGTCTTAGACCTCCATAAATATAATGATATTGATAAGTGAATTTGATTTTTTTAAAGATTTATTTATTTATACATATAAGAATTGGGGTACAGGCCAGAGGTGTCGTGGGTGAAAGGATTCACCAGAGACAGAGTGGGGAACAGAACAGACAGATTGACTGAAATACACTGCTGAGGGGAGCAGTGGGTGAGACAGGAGAGGTCTGCTGTGCCATGTGGGTAGCTCCCTGGCCAGCTGGGGATTGAACTCGTGCTGCAGAGGCTGCAGCTATCTTCATAGTGCTGTGCTTAACCCTTTTTGCCACCAGGGAGGCCCTGAATTTGATTTCTTTTCAAATTTGAATTTAGCTTTTAACATATTTGTGGAAATAGAACAATTTTTAAGCAGTATTCAGGAAAAAATAATAAAGCTTAGTTAACTGTTAGAAACCTTTGAATCTTTAGAACATATGACTATCATCTTGTATAGAATTGCATCAAAAAATGGTCAATAGTTCAAATATGAGTAATGAAATTGTACTATAAAATGTTTTCTTTATCATAATTATTTATACTATGCAGTGAAATTGGCATTTTTCTCCTCTGGTATACAGTTTTATGAATTTTAACATGTGTATGGATTCATGTAGCCACCACCAAAATCTAGATAGAGAACATTTACATTATCCTCAAAAATTCCCTCATCCTGTCTCTTTATGGTTACCCTCCTTTTGCCCATAACACTTAGGGACTACTGATCTCTACCTCTCTAGCTCGATAGTTTTGTCTTTTCAAGATTGTCATATAGATGGGATCACAGTACGTAACCTTTGAGACTGGCTTCTTTCACTTTGCATTTTGCCTTTGCAAATCATCCAAGTTGTTGCATGTACCACATATCCCTCCTTTTCATTGTTGAGTAGTATTCCATTACATGGTTATACTCTAGTTTGTTTAGCCACTTACCCACAAAGGGCATTTGGGTTATTTCCAGTTGGGGCAATTATGTGCACAGCTGCTGTAAACCAAGGTGTGGAGTTGCTGACTCATATACTGTCTTAACTGTTTTTTATTTTAAATAACATTTATATATTCAGGTTTGTTTTAGGCCTAATCTTATTTCCTTTAGGTCATTTTGGAACTACTTTTTTTTCTTTCGATGTAACATTTCATCTTTTATCTTTGTGATGTTTTCTTGTTTCCCTTTTCTTTAGGTTGCCTTCATCATAACTGTCTTCTGGTACTATAACCCAGAATCTTTCTTGCCTTTATATTACTCCAACTTGATCATGTGACTCACCTTAAACAATGTAGTTTGCTATTAGATTTTTTTAACTAGATGATTTTCATATCTATCTTTCTATTCTCTTTTGTTCAGTTTTGTAGATCTTGTTCTCTGAAGGACATTTCTAATTAGATGTCCTGCTAACACTTTAATCTTATCATGGTAGATACTTAAAAAAATCCCCTTGAGTCTTTTCCTCTTTGCAACTTCCTTATCATAACTACAAGGTAATTTCTTATCTTCACTGTCACTTTCCCCTTCCAAATGCAGGCAGTAATAAAACCTAGGACTTTGCTTTTTATTACTACTTCCATCACCAAAATTGTGTTACAGATTCTATGTACCTCATTTATGTACATTATTTTTCACTGATCTTCCAACTGTATACTTCTCTTTTTTCATCCAAAAGTCAGGATTTAAATCACCTTTTATAAAGAACCTTTTGCTTTTTCAGATCCTTTGGTGAGCCTCTCTATTTCATTAGAAAGGCCTGCTTCTGGATTTCAGTTCCTGTACTATAATAACTTCAGGGTCTCCCTGGTGACACAAGGGGTTAAATCACAGTACTGTGAGGCTATCAGCAGCCACTGTGGCATGAGTTCGGTCCCTGGCCAGGGAGCTGACCCACATGGCACAGCAGACCTCTCCTAACTCGCCCACTGCTCCCCTCAGCAGTGTTTTCAGTCAGTCTGCCTGTTCTGCTCCCCACTCTGTCTCTTCTCCCTTTGGTCCCTAATAGGAGACTTAATTAGTTAAGTATAAAATGTTAGAAGGTTCATGTTAATCTAATGAACTATACACACTAAGTCTTTGCATCTATTAAAAATTCAAAATATAGGGGCCTCCCTGGTGGCGCAAGGGGTTAAGCACAGCACTATGAAGCTATTTCAGCCTCTGCAGCACGAGTTCGATCCCTGGCTGGCCAGGGAGCTACCCACATGGCACAGCAAACCTCTCCCTGACTCACCCGATGCTCCCCTCAGCAGTGTTTTCCGTCAGTCTGCCTATTCTGTTCCCCGCTCTGTCTCTGGTGAATCCTCTCACCCTCCCGCACCTCTGGCTTGTACCCCAGTTCTTATGTGCATAAATAAATAAATCTTTTTTAAAAATTCAAAATATATAAACTCATTTATTTCTATGACGACTGTTTCCATTAAACTAAGACAGAAATCACTATGCAGAAGAAACAACCCTCTTGACCATGTCTCTGTTCTCAGTTCACAGTTAGGAAGAAAACATCTACTTTCTTGTGATTTAACTAAATATGAATCATGTTCAGTTCCTTCCCCTGTTTGCTCAATTCCCAATCAACCACTGGATAGAGTTAACATTTAGCTATATCACAAACGAATCAACGTTAAATCTGTTATTTCTGGGATAATCCGCTCACCAAAGTGCAGGGGATATAGCAGGGAGTTGCCATTCCCTGACTTAAGAAGGGCATCCGGTAAGTGTAAGAGTTCTTTCAAACAGTAAGATATGTGGGTAAATGAACAGTTATTTGATGGACCGTTCACTTTCATCAGTACATAATGTGTGTTTTTCTGTTACAGTTACTAAGTACAGGTCCTAGAATGCCCCTTTAGCTCACAGAATTCTGAATGCAGCTCCAACATTTGGGGTGGGAGTGGGGGGCAGGCTGCAGCCGTGAGTGCTAGCTGCGTGTATTCGTTAAAATGGAGTAAAGCCAGTCTGTGGAGAGCTTTGTCTTTTTTGCTTTTTATTTTTTTATTTTTTTTTTTTTAAAGATTCATTTATTTATTTACACAAGCACTGGGTACAGTCAGAAGCGCGGGAGGGTGAGAGGGTTCACCAGAGCCAGAGTGGGGAGCAGAGCAGGCAGAAGGACCGAAGGACACTGCTGAGGGGAGCAGCGGGCGGCAGGAGAGGTCTGCGCGCCATGCGGGACCCCCCTCCGGTGGCCGGGGAGCAGCCGGGGATCGAACCGGCGCTGCAGAGGCTGCAGGCAGCTTCCCAGCCCAGCGCTCAACCGCTGCGCCACCGGGGAGGCCCCTTTTTTGCTTTTTAAATGAGTCTGCTTAATAATATGTTCAAATTCTAATTTTTAATGTAATTTCTTTTCCCTTCTTAGCTTGGTGCTAACAGTGGTTTGCACATCATCATCTTCGATGAAATTGATGCCATCTGCAAGCAGAGGGGGAGCATGGCCGGCAGCACAGGGGTGCACGACACCGTGGTCAACCAGCTGCTGTCCAAAATCGACGGGGTAGAGCAGCTCAACAACATCTTAGTCATTGGTATGTTTGCTCTAAAAAGAAAAATGTGCTATGATTTCAAAAACATTGGACACCAAGGCCCTAGAGATTGCAATTATACATTTTGCCAACATTTCTAAAATAGTATCACATGATATTGAAAATTCTGATTTTAATGTCTAGCCTTAAGGGATAAATGAAGAAACGGGCTTTGGTGACTGATGGGTTTAAGTTTATAGCTCCCCTCAGATGACAGTGGTGACACAGTGGAATGTACGGTTTCCAAACAGGGTCCTGCAGGCCTCTGAGAGTCCTCAGAACTGCTTCAGGGTCTGTGAGGGCCAGAGATTGAGCTTTAGATCACCCATTCCAGCCATAACCACCTTTTTATTTATTTATTTTTTCTTCTTTTTTTTTTTTCATAACCACTTTTTTAAAAACTGTTTTATATACTAAGGTTATTTTTAGGCTGACTTTTGGGAAAAACTTCTAATGTTTGTAAAGGTTGGAAACCATTTGGTCTACATAAAAGGGGAGGGACTTCAGGGTCACACAGATTGTGGTCACATTGCCCCTTTTCACCATGACAAATGACTTACCCTCTTCAACCCTTAACCTTTCTTTTTAAATATTTGAAGCTTTCATTCATTTATATTCCACTTACTTGTACAGTAGCGAAATACTAAAGCAAAGTCTCCAGGTATTTTCATTAGAACACATCAAGAACAAATGATGCTTTCTTTGAGAATAATTTTGGTTTTCTATGTGACTTTTATAAAATGCCATCTTTAGCCTGTCAGGAAAATGAGTATTCTTGCATATACTGAAGGGTTTATTAAATCTTATTTTTGAACCCTGATAATGTATGTGTTGTTTTGTTTTAACATCTCTGCTCAGGAATGACCAACAGACCAGATCTGATAGACGAGGCTCTCCTTCGACCTGGAAGACTGGAAGTTAAAATGGAGATAGGTGAGCAGACCTATCCCTGATGCAGGCAGCATGGGGCAGGGGCATGCACTTAAGAGTTCATTAGCAGGATCAAAATCATATAACTTAATGTTTGTTGAAAAAGTTGTTTATCATGAGAAACAGATGTTTACTTAGTGGAGTACCCACAAGAAATGCATGAGGATTATAATGATCTCTATTTCATTTACCAATGTTATCAGGCTTACCAGATGAGAAAGGTCGACTACAGATCCTTCACATCCACACCGCAAGGATGAGAGGACATCAGCTGCTCTCTGCCGACGTCGACATTAAAGAACTGGCTGTGGAGACCAAGAATTTCAGCGGTGCTGAGCTGGAGGGTCTGGTGCGGGCAGCACAGTCCACTGCTATGAACAGACACATAAAGGTCAGTAAAATCAGCTTCTAGGTAAGGAGTCTGCACCCTATAAATACCACGCCAGCCTTCTTTCGTTTTCCTTTCAAGTACACCAAGAACTAGGTAATGCTAACTTTTGAAGGAGAAGAGACATGGTAAAAGAAATAGAAATTAATTGCCAACTGCTGAACCTCCAGAGTAGCAGGAAGAAAGATAATGGTCACATCTTCTCCCTGGTAACCGCTGACCCATGTCGCAGGACGTTGGGTTTTCTACGTGCTAGAATTGGCGACTGCTTCATTCAGCCATATACTGAATACCTACTGTTTTTGAGATATTACGCTTAAGACACAAGATGATAAAGCATAACCTCTTCCCTCAAGGAATTCAGTCAGGGAAATGAACATGCTTATAAATTAGTACAATCATGCCACTGATACTGTGGTGGAAACACAGCATTCTTTGATTTTAATGAGTGAAGTGCCCTTGATCCTTTACCATCTCTCCTCCTCTGCAGGTCGTAGTTGTCACCTGTAGAGAACTCACTCCCAGATTCATGTCTCATCTCTTGAAAGTATCTTTCTCTGACTTCCAGATTTATACTAAAATACCTCTGCTTGGCTATTTTATCAGGTCTCAAAATTAATATTCCCCAACCAAATTCACTGTCATTTTTTTACCACTTTCCTTCTTGTTCCTATTTCCCGGTTTATTCCAATTCCCCAGGCTTACAACTTCCAGGCGGTTGAATTAGCATTATTATTAAACTTCAGGTAGTGCATGTTGAATTGTGATCAACACCTTTTGTACCAAACAGCTTTTAATGTTTTACACTATCTATGGAATGACTAAGGCAAAGGATTATATGGTCCTTCTGAGGAGAGAAAAAGATAAGTAGGACAATAACCTTACCCCCCCCCCAAAAAAAAAAAAAGAAATAGCATACTAACACTTATTTCCTTTTCTGCATCTTTTAAAATCTTTTTTGTCAAAGGGTCTCTAAGCACTGTTAGGGAGACTTCTCCTCAGCTGAACAAAGGGTATACAGTTTTGTATTCGCATTGCTGTAGATGCTCATAGTTTTCCTAGTAGTGATTGATGAATATATATAATTTGAAACTTATGATTTAAAGTGGACACAGAATTTTAGAACATCTACAGCATTGCCACTGTTTGTTCTGATGTTCTGTCCTCATATTACAAAGGTCATTATTAGTGTTATTTTTCTTTCTTTTCAAAAGATTTAGGCTTTAACAAAGTCAGGTGGACTAAAGGAAACAAGTATTCCCTGTTAAACGTTTCTCAGGTTTTTTGAAACAAATGGAAATCTGATCATAAACACCTGATGTTCATGTTGTTTGTGCTCAAACTTGTATTTGTGGTCAGCTAAAATTCAGGTGATGTTTGGTTGTTTTTATCTTGAAAGGAATGTCTGCTTTAGGTAGCGAAGATTCAGAACCCAAATTTCTTCTGCTGTAATTTGTTGTAAGGAAACTAAGAGAACACACACATACTTATTACAACTAAATCAAAACGCTCATTTATATTTGCAGAATTTCAATACACTTTTTTCTTATTTTCTGAAGAATTTTGATTGATTAAGTTCATTCTACCCTTAATTTCAGAGGAATGATAAGAACTTTGAAAGGTCAGATTTAAAAGGTTATGAAATTTAAGGGTGACCACTTGATATTTGCTAGTGTTGAAATACAGGTTTATTAGTTTCTGTGGGTCTAAGCTGAAAGATGGTGCTTCTTCTATATTGATTAGCTGTTATAAAAAAATACAGAAAAAAGTCACACAAATTCAGACAAGTGAGGAACGGTTTCCTGAAGAAGTAAAAATTCAAAATTATAGAATTTTTAAATACAAGATTTCACTAATTTTGTTAAAATAATAAAAGCTAAGAGAAGCCCTTCAAAACCATGTGAATGAATAGGTTGGAATAATTTACAACTGGAATATTGTTTACAGTTAGGTAACTTCTAAAATTTCTGGAGTGCCTAACAACATTGTGTTCTAAAATAAGCACCCCCCCAACCATCTTAATTCACTTTTCATTCATTGGGGGAGTCCCTTTTTTTAATAGCAAAAAGACAAGCTTCATGCCAGCTTCAGTCCTAAAATTGATCATAGTTTTTGTAAATGCTGAAAGATAGACAAGATTTTCCCTTTGTTTTGCTATGTGTTTCTATCATGTGAATTCATTTCACTGGAAGAGGAAGTCAAAATAACAAAACATACTAAAAGCTTATGTGGGGAGAAGACATTTAAAATGAGGCTGGTAACATCATGTGGATTTTAATATGATGCTGGCTCACTTCTTCATGTTCCCCTGAAAGTTTACACCTTGTAGAAGCCTTTCAAATGTGTCAGGAGGTTTTGGTCAGAGTTTAAAACCTTTATATATGATTATCTAAAAAGGAGAGCCTATATCTACCCTTAATTAAATTATCCTTATCCTTAATTTAAGAAAACTTTGCTGACTTATAGAAGGATAAAATGATATAATCAGTATGCAAAAATGGGATAATGTTAATAAACATACTTCATGAACTATAAAGTACCATAGCGATTTATATATTATGAAGTGAGTATCATAATTCTTTCATGGAGAAGCTTATTTCCTCTAACACCATTTCCTTTTTTTTTAACTTAAAAATGTCAAATAAATGCTATTAATATTTTCTGAGTGCTTGATATTGCCACTGAAAACCTTACTAATCATTAAAATGCTAATTACTCTTTCAGCTAATTACTCTTAATATTTTATTTATTTAAAATGTAACCTGTTGGGCCTCCCTGGTGGCGCAGCGGTTGAGCCCTGGGTTGCGAAGCTGCCCTCAGCCTCTGCAGCGCCGGTTCGATCCCCGGCTGCTCCCCGGCCACTGGAGGAGGGTCCCACATGGCGCGCAGGCCTCTCCTGCCACCCGCTGCTCCCCTCAGCAGTGTACTTCGGTCCTTCTGCCTGCTCTGCTCCCCACCCTGGCTCTGGTGAATTCTTTCACCCTCCCGCGCTTCTGACTATACCCAGTGCTTGTATAAATAAATAAAATAAATCTTTAAAATAAAATAAAATGTAACCTGTTAACTTTCTTGTTAAAAATACAGAGGTCATGCCAGAGTGTATAGGGAAATGTGGAAAGGCCATCTCTGACGCCCCCCTTTCCTGCTCCAATGGTAGCCAGCATCTGGGATATAGCTTTGTAGTGTTTATATTTACATTTGTATACATATATGCTTTTTTAAAAGAAGGGGAAAAAAGCAAACATTAATGGAAGTGTACTGCAATTTAAATTTTCACCTGATAATATGTCTTGGTTAGCTTTCTATCTCGGTATATGTAAATCTTTTTTATTTTGGAACAAATGCTTAGTATTCTCAACTAGGACAGCATAATTTAAAATGTAAGCTCCCTCAGGAACCTGTTTGTTTTATTTACCGATCTGTCTCTAGTCCCTGGAATAGTACATAATCCTGGCATGAGAATGCCCGCCTTGCCCTGCTGTGTCCACAGGCAGTCACTTCTAGGGCAGGTACCTAGACATGTGTTGGAAGCTGTAGTAGAAGTGTTGCCAGTGAGAGCCATCACAACAGATTTAATCTGGTTTCTTCTCAGATAACCTGTTTCTTGTCTCTCAAAGATTGTAGGACTTTCTTCACCTCTGGTGCTCTGAAGGTTTACAGTCATGTGTTTGAACAGATGGGGGTTCCTGTCTGTGTGTTCCCCTCAGAGCTCCTTGAACCTTTTAAACTGCAGACATGCCTTTCTCAGCCATAGAATATTCTTTTTTCCTTCTGTCTTCTATTGGTTTTTATCATTCTTTCTGTCCTTGCTTCTGAGAATCCTATTAGATCGGTGTTAAAACTGCTGGTTATATCTTCCATGCTTTTTAACCTTTCTCATTACTGCAATCATTTTATGGGATTTGGGACAAGAAGGGAGATAAATAAATGTACTCTATTTGCCATCTTGATTCAGTTTCCTGACATAGTTATTTTTATCCCATAGGATGACTTTTTCTTTTAGTGTCTATCATTTTATTTGTATCAACAGTCTGTTCCTAAGGGAGCATGACTCATATTTTACAATAATCGGTGGAAGGTTGATACTGCTATACATCCTTTCATTTTGTAGTCAGGGTTTTTTGGCAGGTACTTTTTTTAAAAAAACATAATATCAATTTAAAAATTAGACTCACTTGTCTTGTGCTATTGACAGTGAGCCCAGTCACACCGAAAAAAATGTGTTGGTATCTCAACCACTTATCTGATCCAGGCAGATCCAAGTGCTGACAAAGGACTCGATGCTTCTGCAGATGTCTGCTGTGTTAGCTCCAGGTGCAGTAAGCAGAATATTTGGAGCTGGCATATAGAATCTCAACCACTAGTATGATACAAGTCAAAGTTTAAGGGCCTTGGTCTCCTAGAATAATGGTTCGTAAGCTTGAGCAGCAGAATAACCTCTGGTACTTTATAAAAATATAAATGCCTAGACCTTCTGCTGGGCCTTTTAAACCAAAACTCTGAGGAGGGTGGAGATGGGCATCTATATATGTTTACAGGCGCTAAGGAATTTTCTGATACAAAGCTGAGGATGAGAACTACAGTTTCTAGAGCCCCTCCTCTGTAGGTATGTTCTCCTCCTCCTGCCTCATTTTGAAACACTTTTTCTCAAGTGTTCTTTGATACAGATGTATCATAATTCACGTCACTGGTGCCCCCTCGGTAGACTCCTGAAGCTTCCAGTCTCCTGTGGTTCCCAGTAACTTGGGTATCATGGTGCATGTGACTTAGTACACACTTGTGAACACACTAATAGGATAAAGCCCTAGGAGTGGGGTTGTTCAGGCAAATATAAACATGTTTGTGAATTTGAGAGAGATGAAAACAGTTTCTTAAATCCTCGGGTGTTATATTCTTAGGTTGAAAATATTCTTAAATCTTGGAATTCCTGGGTCTCCCTGGTGGCACAAGGAACCCCTTGTGCAGCAATATGAAGCTATCCACAACCACTGCAGCACGAGTTCGATCCCTGGCCAGGGAGCTACCCACATGGTGCAGCAGAGCTCTCCTGTTTCCCCGCTGCTCCCCTCAGCAGTGTATTTCGGTTCATCTGCCTGTTCTGCTCCCCACTCTGTCTCTGGTGAATCCTCTCACCACCCTCACCTCTGGCCTGTACCCCAGTTTTTATATGCATAAATAAATAAGTCTTTAAAAAGAACTTGGAATTCCTTACATTTTATTTTTATTTCTAATTAGGCTAGCACTAAAGTGGAAGTGGATATGGAGAAAGCAGAGAGCCTGCAGGTGACAAGAGGAGACTTCCTTGCCTCTCTGGAGAATGATATCAAGCCAGTGAGTATGACTTTTGAGTGATGTATGGCCAAAAAGCAGTGATAATTCAGGAGAAATATAAGTGCCATTTAACCCAGGATGATGGACAGTTATATCATATGTAGTTTTATAAAATCTGAAAACCTCTATACTGGAAATACCTAATATAAGAAATGTCTGTGCAATAACTCTAATGACTGGGTAATAAACCAGTACTTACTGATATATTTCTCATGATTATGACACAGATCATTCAATTTTGAGACTTTCTGATTATTCTTACATGGTACTAGAATTTGTTTTTTCATTTGTTATCCAGTCTGAAGCTACAGAAACCTAAATTCAATACATCCTCCAAATTTCTGCTATTTTGATATTTAAAATGAACTCTCATATTCTCCTCTCTCCCTCTCTTTTTCCAACCTCTTCCAAGGCATTCCTTTTTCTAGCTGAATACTACTGCTGCTAATTGCTTTGGTTTCTAAAGACACTTAACTATCTTCGGTGCTCTTTAAAAAGAAATGTGTCAACTTTCTTAAAAGTTTACTCAAAACTGAACTGTCATAGTTGGAATTTTAGAATGCAACATAAGGTCATTAAGCCATTTTCATTTAAGACAAACACTAATGTTTGAATTACCACTGTTTGGAGCCCTGTATGAGCATGGAAACAAATTAAAGAGGTGTGTGTGTTTGTTTTTCTTTACTAAATGGGCCTCAGGTGCCTAGAATTAGATTAATCTTAATCCTTAATTTATGACACACTGTTGTCATTCTTCTATGTGGTGTGTAAAATAAAATAGTATATGTAATTTTCCCGGACTTGCTATTTTATTACCAAGAGTCAACCTTATGATTTCCTGTAGGTATACATACATCATTCATTTTCAAGTACCAAGTAGCACGCCCTTGTGTGACTACCACTATTTATTTTCCTGTCAATGGGTATTTGGAATGTTACCAATTTTTGTTATTACAAATAAATGCTGCTACAAGCATTCTCGGGTAAGCTTCTCTCACTGTGTATTTAGGAGTAAAATCACTGTGTTCTTGGTTATATGAATGTCTAACTTCAATTGGAATTTAAAGTGCTTTTCCAGTGGTTGAACCAATGAACACAATCCCCAGTAATGTAAGAGATTCTATTAAAAGGCATCATGTGTAAAACATGGTGTTATCAGACAACTTTTGGCATTCAGTCAGATGGAAAATGGGATCTCATTTTGGTCTTGATTTGCATTTCACTGATTATTTATAAAGTTAAGCATTTCTCAGTCTATATTTTATTGGCCATATGCATTCTATGAAATATTGTTTATGTATTTCCCCCTTTTTTTCTGTTGCGTGTTCCTCCCTTATCTTTATTTAACCAGCATAACTTCTTTATATATTTTTGACAGTAATTTGTTGTACATATCTCCTGTAAGAAAAGCAGTCAATTCATTTTACCCTGCCTATTTTTTGACTGTGTGACTTTTAAATAGAAAATATTATCTTTCGAAAGTTACTGAGCCATGAAGATGGTGTAATCTCTTGCTATTGTCATTTGTAATAGTTAACAAAAATATTAGACCTCAGCCTAACTGATCTGTTGCAAGATTTTTGTAATGAAAAATGATTTGGCTGTAAGGAAGGGGAAACTAAGATAATTTAGTTAAGTTAGTAATAAATTACTTTCATTTATTCTAGGGCTCTGGGGGATAAAACAAAAAAAAAGAAATGGTGGGATAAATAAAGATCATTCATAGCCTGGGAGGGTTGCTTTTTCTGGGTTGGGCTGATTTATTTATTTATTTAAAATAACTTTTTTATTGTAGTGACACTGGTTTACAACACAAAGCGTGTTTTAGGACTACAAGTTCACACTTCTCCTTCAAATGCATGTTACTACATCTACCTCCAAAGTACTACTAATCCTTCATCCCAGTCCACCAGATCCCCTCCACCCTTTATCCCTCCCCCAACTAACCTCAATTCTAGCAGAATCCAAGGGTTTGTTTTTGTTTTGTTTTGCCTGTTCTTTTTCTTTTTATTTATCATATGAGTGAAATCATGGCATTTGTCTTTCTCATTCTGATTTATTTCATTTAGTATAATCCCCTCCAGTTCCATTCATATGGTTACAAACAGCAAAATTTCATTTTTTTTTTTATAGCTGAGAGAATTCCATTGTGTGTCTAGACCACATTCAGTCATCCACTGATGGGCACTTGGGTCGTTTCCCTGTCTTGGCTAATGTAAATAGTGCTACTGTGAACATGCAAGTACTTTCACGTTCTTCAGATAGGCACCTAGAAGTGGAATTGTTGGATCATATGGTAGATCTCGTTTGACTTCTCTAAGGTCCTGGTTCAGGTATCTTAAAGCTGGTACTGTGAGACTCTGTATGTATACTTGGAATAATTAAAGACAACAACAGTCAATTAAATTTCTTAGAACAGCCATTCACCATTATTTATTAGGCTCTTCCTTCTTACAGAGCCAGTGAGTTTACTACATTTAGGCCAAGGACTGAAGACTTTCCTCTGCACTCAGAAGTCAAAGCACTAGCGTATGCAAGAACCAGAGTGGTCTGAAACAGATGATTTTGGTGGCAAAATAGGGACATGAAGCCACTGAATACTATGTCCGAGACAGGACTAGAAAGAATGGTTTTCTGTGAGATGTAATTTCTAAAGAACTGTTAAAATTATTCCATATATGGGTAATGAAAAACTGACTTTTTGAGGGATGTGACAATTTTTAAAAATTTGAAATTCTTCTTGAGAAACTATACCTCACCTTTTACTTTATGTTGGTTATGTTTATGTTGGTTTACTTTATGTTGGTTTACTCATTTTTTCTCCTAATATCCCTGTGGAAATGTAGTACAGTTAAGTACTAAAGTTATGACTACTTTTGGCAGCTGGTTGGGCAGGAGTTACAGTTTGAAATTAGAAGTTGAAAATGAAAAGGGACATGACTCGTGCTCCGATAGTGAACACAAAATTATTTTTAATAATTGCTTCTATTTCCTTTTCCTAACCCTTCAATCTCTAATTATAGCTGCTCATTTCTACCTCCTTCTGAGTCTTATATTTACTCACATGTACTTGCCTTGGTATCATTTACCTTGTTTCCCCGACTGCCAGACTGTTGTGGAAAAGATTCCCTCATGATCATCCACATTCCAGTATTAATCCATGACACAGTGAGTGTTAGGATAGTATCTTTGTCTGCTGTGCCAACTATTTCTAATTTCTAATTCATAATCTCTTTTTCTCTTTGTTCTTAACAGAAGGCACAGTCTGCTTACTCCTTATAGAAACAAGCGCGTTGGAACATACCCTTTCTCAGGGATTATGAGGGTTTGGGCGCTCATAAAATCTGAGCCTAGAATCTATTGTTTATTCCACTAAGTCATACAGAGCGACTTTTGCCCCCAACGGGCAAAAAGATAAATGAGAAATTCCAAGACAGTTTTGTTGCTTTTTGGGCTTTTTACATTAACAGGGAATATTGCTTAACACACTGTGTGTGTAGGAATAATTATACTCATTTCTTATAAATTTAAGTGCTCTTGTTGTTAATACTAATGCTCAAAATGCTTTGAATTATCCTTTCCTCCATAGGCCTTTGGCACAAACCAAGAGGATTATGCAAGTTATATTATGAATGGTATCATCAAATGGGGTGATCCAGTTACCCGAGTTCTGGAAGATGGGGAGCTGCTGGTTCAGCAGACTAAAAACAGTGACCGCACACCTTTGGTTAGCGTCCTTTTGGAAGGTGAGAAAAAATATGAGATGACATTTTTTTTTAAAGATTTATTTATTTTATTTTTTTTGTACAAGAACTGGGGTATAGGCCAGAGACATGGGAGGGTGAGAGGATTTACCAGATAGAGAGCAGGGAGCAGAACAGGCAGACAGAAAGCACTGCTGAGGGGAGCAGTGGGCGGGACAGGAGAGGTCTGCCACGCCTATGAGATGACATTTTAAAAAAAAAAAAAAAAGCAGCAGCACTTTTACAAAGCCATTTGTCACATTCCAGAACAGTGAAATATTTTTGGTTCTAAACCACTTCATGATCTAAAAATAGTAACTCAGCAGGACAGTCTATGTACCAGTATTTACACAAATTAAGTTTTTATTGGGGGGCAGAATGTTATTCTTGAATTGTAACTCATTTTCTTGTGGAATTACATATAAATTTCTGTTACTTAATAGACTATATGATGGCAATTCAATTAAATAACTATTCACTGAGTACTGACTAGGTTTTCAGCACTGAACTAGTTGCTGGAGGTATAAAGACATTCATAAGGCTTAGTCTGGTCATGAAAAAAGTCAATGTAAGCAATTTCCTGACTACAGTGTGCATGTGTCAGGGGTATGTGAATGCAAGTCACTTTGCCTGGGGGTGATCAGGAAAGCTAGAGTGATGTTTAATTTTTAGACCTTGAAAGATCAGTTAGGATTTTACCAAGTCAACACAAAGGAGGGACATTCTATTCCGAAATTATTTATTTACAGTTATGATTCCTATAAAAGTTCAGTAAATCTACAGGACATGAGAATCTAACCCCTTCCAAAGGCCTGGATGCTGGGTTCCTTGCAAGAAAAACATTAAGCCATGACTTGAAGGATGAAGACAAGTTGACTGGGCAAAGTAATTGGGGAGGATGTTCTAAGCAGGATGTGAAAGAGTCCTTAGTAGAAAGGAGACTGAAACAGAAAGGGGGATTGGCTAGACATGAGACTAAAGTAGACAGGAACCAATTCATGCAAAGTCTTATAAGTCCTGTTAAAGAATTAGACTATATCGGATGGGCAATGGGAAGCCATTTGTAGGGATTTCAGCAATAAAGTGACATGGTCAAATCTGTATTTTAAAACATCGCCATGGGGCCTCCTCTGGTGGCGCAGCGGTTGAGCGCTGTGCTGCGAAGCTGCCTGCAATAAAAAAAACATCGCCATGCCTGCTTTATGATAGAGAATGAGGGGCAAAAAAAGATACCAGTGTTATAAGTAGTTGCCTTAATCTTAATGAGAGCTGATTTTGATTTAAGGTAACGCAGTGGTAGTGGAGATAGAGATAAGTAAATGATTCTGAGAAATATTTAGAAGGTAGAATAAGAGACTTCGTAATATTACCAGTTATTAATCATAAGTATTATAATTATTAATTGTTAATTATAATTGAGCTAACTTATTTTAACTCTTACTATTTGCTGGTCACTCTACTGATACTATGCTCATCTCATCACATTCAAACCTCACTTCAATCCTATGAGGCTAGATGCTGCTGTTCTCCCTATTGTATAGATAGGGAGCTAAAGCTTAGAAATACTAAGTAACTACAAACTTCACCCCCAGGTTTCTAGCATACACAGCCTGCTAAACAATGCTGTTTACTAAGTTCAGGACACCATCGTGAACTGTCAGTACACAGACTGTTGTCGAATCCACAGTGCAGGGGGCATCACTCACAGACGGGTGTGGGTTTAGGAGAAAAGGGGGCCTAAAACTGATCTCCCAGGTGCATCAACATTTAGAGACTAGAATGAGGAGGCGAAATGGACAAAAGAGACCAAACAAGAATAGCCAGAGCAGTAAGAGGGGGAAAAAGAGAATATGCTGTCCCAGAAGCCAAGAAAAGGAAAGTATTTAAAGAAACAGGAGAGTTACCAGTTGTATCAGCTATTCCTTACAGGCGAACAGATAAGATATTTGTTGGTGGCATGGAGGTCATTGCTGAATCTGACAGAAAGCTGTTCCATGTACAGGAGTGGGAGCCAGCTATAGGGTTTGCCAGAGGATGGATAGAAGGTGAAGAGTGAAGGCAGCCTGTGTAGATAATTATTTCAGGAAGTTCCATTTGGAAAGGAAAAGAAATAGTGTTGAGGGGTGGTTGAGGTTTTTTGTTTTATTAAGCTGTCAGGTAGATTAAAGTGTGTTTACATGTTATTGGAAAGACTACATGGAAGAGGAAGAGAGTGAACCTCTCCTGGTGAGAGGGTGTAATCAATAACATCAGGTTCCTGAGAAGATGGGAAGAAAAAATTGATTGTTTTATGGATGGAAGAGGGACACATCTTCCATTACACAGAAGGGAAGAAGGAAGGGTTGTCAGAACACAGGTAAGTTTGCTCCTAGATTTTGTTGCCTTTAAACTCCTAGCTTTTTGGTTCACATTCGCTTCTGATAAGGCATTTTCCCATGCTGCCAATATCATCTACGAAGATCATATTAATATTTTTGTTAGACAATTTGATAGAACTAATAACATAACTACTGATATGCATTTGAATGCATTCTTTTTTTAAGACACAAAACACTTGCACTTTATACATTGAGCTAGAAGATTATGACTATGTGAGAAAGAAAATGTATTTCATCATACTTTTGTAAAATGCTAATCAGTTCATTAAGTTTAGTTGCTAATAAATAAGAGCAAACATGTCTGCTGTGAAACTGTCAGAAAATGGTAATGAGCAACTAGTTGAGACCTCAGTACATTGTGAATAAAAGTTTAAACTTGTTTCATTCCCCTGTGCTTAGGTTGGCTTTATTCCCCTGACTTGCTCATCTCCTTACGCAGGCCCTCCTCACAGTGGGAAGACTGCCTTAGCTGCAAAGATCGCAGAGGAGTCCAACTTCCCCTTCATCAAGATCTGTTCTCCTGATAAGATGATTGGCTTTTCTGAGACAGCCAAGTGTCAGGCCATGAAGAAGGTATCACACTTCTCACTTTCATTTTAATTCCCTGTGGCTTAGGTGTATGTGTATTTGTGTGTGTACACATGTATGTGTGTGTGTGTCTGTATATAAAGGCCATACCAACTGTGTTCTTCTCAAGTGGCTAAAAATAAGAGAAAACATGTCTACTAAAATTATCAGTAGAATTTGGAGGGAAACAGTGGCTGTTTTAGATATATTTAACTCATAATGAATTATTGTTACTTTATCTTCTAAATTTTGCTGTGTTTATATCATGATTCATTTTTATTGATGTTTATATTGGGGTAGATTTAGCAAATTCATTTACAATTTTTTAAAAGTTCTTTCATTAATGTAGAAAGTCCAGCTGTTTTGGGTCAATTAAGGTGACTATATAGTTTAGGAAAGGACAGCATGTAAGTAACATGGAGTACCCAGGACCCAGGCTCTTTTTTGCCTCCCATTGCCAGCCTCTATGGCCACCACCTATGGCCTTGCTTTCCTCCCAGGCTGCATTACTGCATGTGATATCATGTGATTAAGGCAGTCGAGAGCGCAAGCATGAGGCACGCACACCTATGATTATGGATACCTGAGCCAAGAAGCCAGAGAGCACTGGGTGTGCATATTTAAATACGGATACCTGGGCCGAGAAGGGAGGGCTAAAGGGGAGATTTGCAGGGACTAGGGGACTCAGTTGCCGCCTCCCTGCCTGCTGGTCTGCCTGTGTGTCTGCTCCCCTGATTCAGCATTAAAGACATGTTAGAAACACCAAAGGCTCCAAAATTCTCTTTCCATTTGCCCGAATCAACAATGAACCTGCCTGGCCTGGGAAGGCTGCACAGAGCAGAGGCATTCATCAGGAAGAGACCATTGAAATTCCCTCAAAGGGCAGTGGTATATTAGATGGTGGTGGGAGTCAGCTCGATGCAGTCTTCATCCTTCTGCCATTCTCTAAGCTCCTCTTGTCACCATCTTGCTATGACAGCTTTGAACCATCAGTAAAAGTCAGAACAACATAAAATAGAGCCTAGAGCTGAGTGCACTGTAGGACCACCAAGTCTGTCTCTGTTACACCTAACGCATCTGGGATAGCAGGTAACCCTCTAGAAACAGCATCAACAACAACAAAACTCTGTGCTGAAGACTCTTAACAGCTGTTTCTTCCCACTTGGCAGCCAGAATTTCCATGGCTGTTCTAATTTTGTACACTCCCAGGTCGTGAGTAAAGTATGTGTCCTCTCTAGTTGAAGTGTTTCTGCTACTCAAGTCCTTTTTTCATGTTTGATCTTTTATAGATAATGAACTGACTATAACTCAAAAAGATGTGGGAGAATCAGAATTAGGGGAAAGCCGCTTTGAAAATTGGGGTGCCACCCAGTATGACAGTACACATATTTCTTTTACCTTGCTCCCACACCCTCGCTTTGTTAAGACAGAATAGAATGACTGGAGTTATAAGTTTGAGAAACCAGTCTCGTACTGGTGCCAGTTGCAGAAAACCTTGTAGCATGCTTGACATGGATGGAGGCGAATCCCTATTATATACCTTGAAAAGTCAAGATAAATATTCTAAGACTAGTGAACAGTACAGTCAAGATGGTTACAGGTGACCCAAAGGGTGAGGTGTCCACCTAGGCCTTCTTGGTGTAGGCCTGCCGGGTAGAGCATAAGAAGAAAAGCCCAGAAGTCTCTGTCAATTTTGCATTCTCCAAGAAGTTCCTGGCGAGGTGGAAGACAGTGTCTGGGGAGAAGTCTAAATCTGAGGAAATGGCAAAAGTTGATGAACTACTCTATGATCAGGAGAGGAAGGACTGTGGGCCAGCTGAGGGAAATGCCCCCATACTCCCGGGAATTCTTCCTGTTCTGTTAAGAATTCCATTCCAAGATTAAATCCATGAACCCCAGCATCTTGATCAGAGACGTGGAAAAGAAGTGAATGAGATGTGAAATCACTAAAGTGACAGAGAAAAACAGGCTGACAACAGGCAGGAAGCTGAAGGAGAAGACAGAGAAGGATCTCGCTGACTCTAAGTCGAAAGGAAGCTTTGATGGCACTAAAGCTTTCCTCCCACTAAAGTTGCCAGGAAAAAGGTGGAAGAGGAAGACCTAAAGACAAGGAGGGGAAGATGAGAAGGAGAGAGGGAGAGGAGGGATACAAAAACTGTCTAAAAAAAAAAAAAAAAGAAAGAAATATTCTATATAAGGATCTCTGCAATGGAGTGTGAGAGGGGTAAATGTTGCCAGACACCAGAACTTAAAATATCATGGTCAGTCTCTTCTATGACTGTCCTTCCTGGGGACATCTGGACAGGGTAATGAGGACCAGTAACTTCCTTAGTACCAGGTAGGATTTGGTTGTTTTTGTTTTTCTCCCTCCAAAGGGAATCCTTAAACTACTTCCTCTGGTGAAAATTTAAATAATAACCCTGGGAATCTGTGGCATTTAGACTTAACCATTTAACCGAACAGCTGATTCTATTTCCACTTCCCTAGCTAGCTCTTGTCTATTCCTTATACTTGTTCAAAAACAGTTGTCTGCCATGCACATGGTAAATTACTGCACTGCTCTTCACCAGCTGCCAGCTCCTACCTCAGATGTACTCTGAGATGTGGGTGGATGGTCCTAGTTTTTCTATAAAATTTTTAAAAAGTATTTTATGCTCCTGCAGATCAAAGCAGCTTTATAAGTGTGAGATATTATCATTTTTATTGTTTTAATCTCTTGCAAATTGACTTGAGGGGGGAAGGTAATATGTGCTGATTTTAGAGGCTTAAATGGTTAAATTAATGGTTTAATAACTTATGATTTAATCTTTAAATTGTTGAAGCCTTTCAAGGTAGAGTTTTAGAAGAGTGGAAGGCTAAGGAATATAAAAATAAGTGTCTATACAAGCTTATTCAAAATTGTTTCGATTCATGATTCACTGTCTGGATCAACCGTGCACCCTTCAAGTCACAAAAATTGTTTTTGTTTGAGCAGTAAAAAAACTCATACGAGGACTTTTTGATTTTTCTTGGGGAAAAGCTATTACTCCCTGTAACTAAAGGACAGAACAGAGGAAAGAATGAAGCATAGGTATTTTAGAAATATTCTCAAAATATTGCAAAATCTTTCCCTGCAAATAGTTTTCACATTGTTGTCTAATGATAGGCTGACAAAGCCTGAGGGCTCAGACCCGTCTGAAGGTGCTAAGTCTTCCAGGTTGCTTTTGAAAGTGAAATATGAATGCCATTCTCCAGTAGTCCTGGCCTACCTCCACCACCGCTCCCTACCCTGCATTGTTCCCGAGGATGGGAAGATGTTTTCTTTTGTGTTTTTTTTTTTCTTTAGAGCACAATTTATAATTTTTTCTCACCCCGGAGAGGACATTTGTTTCCTTAGAAAAGTGCTTCACCCTCACCAAATGCACCATTTCCTAATTACAAAAATAATTTAAAAAATACAGAAAAGAACTTGGAAGAAAATAAAAATAAAGCCGTATTTGACCTTCAATTTTCTTATCTCCTCAGACACACACACATTATGTATCAGAGATCACATCAGACACTGTTCTAAACATTCTTTTTTTGCTTAAAATATTATGATTTTTTTTCATTGTCATTACAGTCTATTGCCAAATCACATTAAATTAATAGCTGTATGGTATCTACTTAAACAATCCTTTTTTTTTAGCTTTTAGGTTTTTTTCACAATTATAAATAATATTCTGTAGAGCTATCAAACTAGGGAAATCACTGCCCTCATTTTCTTACTAGATTTTTCTTTAAAAAGCATCATAGTGTCCTGACTGAGTGCTTGGGCTTAGGATTCAAATAGAACAGAATTTGAATTCTAGCTCCACCACACTTACCAGTCCTGATAACCACTTAACTTATAAGCCCATTTTCTCACCTATAAAATGAAAATAATATTAACAATCACCTCATAGGGTTATTATGAGACGTAAACAAGACGGTACTTTATGTATCATGCAGTGCCTTGGGATATAATAAATATATGATATTTATTTATACATAAATAAAATAAAATGTAGTGATTATTTTTACTTAACATTACTGTAAGCATGTATTTCTGGTTATTCCTTAAGATAAATTCTCAGAATTGGGATTGCTAAGGTAAAAATATGAATATGCTATCAATCCTCTTACTTAAAAACACTAATAATTTATAAAGCCCATATCTACAGAAAGCTGTGCGCTTGCGGGCATATGAGAATACCAGTTTCCTTAGACTCCCATCCGCAATTGCTGTTTTCAAAATTTTTTTTGCCAATTTAATAGGTAAAAGATTGACATATAATTATCCCCTCAGCTACATTTTAATACAAAATGTTCAACTTTAAAATTTTTCAAAATGTTTTGCAATGGCAATAAGTTTGTGAAACTCAGATAGAACACATTAATTTTATTAAAAGGGAGTGATCTGAATAATTAATTCATAGAATATTTTAATATACCATTTCATTACTTAAACCAAGGAGGGTTTTTGTTAGCAGGAAGGACCATTATGATAGCTTTAATGAGTACCTAAGATTTCACTGTAATTAAGTTACTGCTTCTTGTTCACATATGGATGGTGCTAAAATAAATGAAAGTGGTTTATTCTCAACTAATTTAAAATTTACCTTGTATGTCTCTAATTTGCTTGAAAAATCCTCTCTCCATGGATAAGCTCCCCAATACTGCGAAAGTCTGTGGGAGGTATTTTCCTCACATTCTGGAAGTGTGAGGACACTATATGTTTTATTAAGATATTTAAAGTATTCACAGATCTCTTCCCCCATTTTTGTTTCCCCAGTTTCATCCTATTTTTAAAATTTTAATTTCTTCCTCCGTTTTTTACATGTATACTTTTAAAAAATATCTATTTTAGTAGTTCTGTTAGTGTTACTAAATGAACAAAAAGAACAAAGCAGGAGAATTTGATTTTAACTAATTACCTAATCTTGATGCTTGCCAAGTACACAATACAGAGAATAATCTATGTGACTAAATTGATCGAACAAAATTAA